GCTGCCGTAGCTTTGCGCTTGAGGAAGCGTCTTTGGGTCACCGACCTTTCGTTCTTTACAAGAACCAGGTACTAGTGCAGCAGATCGCAATCCGCTGCCTCTATCCGCCTTAACCGAGGTAGACGAACACGTCTGTTCAAAATCGAAACTGATTTGAGCTAAATTTTATATTCTTACGTAAAAAATTTAGATTTTCCTAAATATACTTTATACATATAGTAAAATCTAAATACATGCATACCTACTGGCTACCTAGCCTCGTACCGTATTCTTGTTGGGTGTGTGGTCACATTATGCACATCTCGTGTGACACTCACATGCCCTGTTTTGAGGGTTCGTGTAACCCCGTTACACTATCCGTATTACATAACTAGCAACCAGGGGAATGGCCTTCGTGACAAGGGTCAGGCAACCAAGAACTTTGCAACGAGAATGGCCACCTTGTATTAAATTTTCACACTATCCCTCAGTTAGAGATATACGGCACAAATATCCAGTATATAGAAACGCGTAATCAATGCTTCACATCACCTCGACAAAATTTACAAATTTTGTGCCCGGTTCTTGCAGTGGAGTGTGTTGCATATCCCTACTGCGGATTCATCAGTGACGTCTAGCTGTTTATAGAAAGCCAAACCTGGTTTTGGCGATTAAAGTTTGCCTGTCGGCAAGTGCAAGAGCTGCAACGTCTTTTGAAAAATTAATTAAGTCGTAAATTATGCATTCACCATATCAAATGCTGTCAGTAGGCATATCGTCTCACTTGTCTTAAAAATGTACTAGCCAGCCTCAGCATACTAGACGTCACATCTGGGCCTACTTGTGTGCGAAATGTCGTGAAGTCAAAGGCACGATATCAACGCCAAGGTTGGTCCCCACAAAGCTAGCTCTTTCGTCCTCGGTCATACGTACACCCATGAACCTGCTAATATAGCTACCTGCCTAATGTAACAAATCTAGATCCCACCCAGTATACATATCCTTCGCAATCCTGTATCTTCCTCTGGAAAGCAAAGGACGGAGGGTGAAACAAATAATTTGCAGCTATTCCTTGTGATCCCGCGGAACTACGCAATCAGATGTATTGGCTTGGTGCAACCTAAGCGGTTCAAGCAGGAATTCTGCTCTAATGCAGAAGTTTGTATAGGGTATAAGAAGGGTAGAGGTAGAAGTGATGTGTGCTTGTGTTTGCAAATGCAGAAGTGAGTGTATTTATGTTAACGCAGTTGTGTGGGCCCACGCGCAACTGCCTTGCGGGCCACACAATATATTAAACCTAAGTTTAAAGCTACTCACCCATCCTAAGGTATGTGGAACACTCTAACTCAGTCTTTGCGCGATCCTAAAATAAGTACACACTTTTGAAATGCAGACATATGCAGACTTAACCATAAAGGTTAAACACGCAGGAAACTTCTTTAGTGGGAATTGAGCTCACAACTTGCCGTTTAGCATCACGATGCCAAACCACTTGAAACAGTCACCATAACTCATGAGTTAGTGCAAGCAGACCCGGTGGCGTGGGTGGAGTGGTCAATGCTTCTGGATGTAACGTTTTGTGGCGCGGGTTCGAGCCCCTCAGCGGTCAAAATCGTAATCGTACCAGACATGCAAGAAGTGTCGGCTGCATGCTAATTATTTTTTGACAACAGCCAGTAAGGACTTCAGGATGGCGACTCGTACAAGAAAAAGCAAGAATTAAGATCAAGAAAAAATATTCCAGTGGACTGAAGCAATGTAATATCTTAGTCAGGTCCGAGCAGTTATAGCCGTGTAATAAGATGGTACATAGCAACTTTCAACTGAGTTAGAGCAAGCTTTAACTACAGCAGCATACTTAATAGTTTGCCAACCTACTGAGGCCTTTTGTGAATTAAGTTTGTCGTCGAAAGGCGCCCCGACTCTAAGCGGCTCAGTAGAGCGGCGTCTTCAGTTGACGTTGGTGAGCCTACATAAAACACAGAATATGCTCGCAGCTCGCAGCTCTCTGTGATATCGAGAGGTTAACTTTACTCTTTCCTATTATGACCTTAAACAATTCAATCAAACGAGGATGTAGCTTTGTTTTTATGCTTCCGACACTTCAACTGTCGGTAGGTTCAGACCGTTTGAAACAAACTTATCGCCCACTTCATACTATGTATCACTGAGATCCAAAATTATTTTTTTATTTTGCACCTCCTAGCTCTCAATCTTAGCGTCGCGCATTCAGACGCAAAACGTATAATTTCCTCAGAACGAAGTTGTAGCTATGCTACAAGCCGTATCAGGAGTGATACCAGCAAGTTGACCCGTCACCAATAAGTGAAGTCTTATTTACGGTGTCAAGATGACGCGAGTAAGAGTTACTATTTAAAAAATGGTAAAAGCCTGCTATGGCGTGTGCTTATTTTTGTATGTTTTTTAACGAATATAAGCGAATTACTTTAGCTCCATCTTCTATCAGAGCAAGTGCTTTGACAGAATTTCTCCACCACGCGATTGGCGCGTTCCGTATGTCCTTATGTCTTTATTTTGTCAGACGTGCACGTGGAAAAATTCACACCATGAACAAAAGTTGCGGATATCGATCAAATATAATTGACCACAAGCAAGACATGTTTTTTGTTAGATTCTGTCGAGATACAGCTTCGCCGTATTCTCACTGTTGACGGTGTGACAGCAACGAGATGAGTTATCCTTCCCAGACGCTAAAGATGCTACAATGGCAATATATTGCAATAGCTCTGCAGTTTGTATGATGCAACCTGTTATTCTGCAACACATTATATCTTCTCTTCTGTTCCTATCAAGCTGTAATAACTGGTCATACCTTCCAAAGTTTTTCGCCGCGCCGGTGCGATATTCAATTTTATATCACTTCAATTATTATTATATAAAGTTGGTTATATATAAGAGATAGTAAATCGTTTTTCTAGAAATCGACGTTTGCACAGGAAGATATTTGAAAGCATCTATCTTGTCACTTATCTCTGACCTTTTTGAGGCAAAAGATGGCACTATATGCGAAATTTATCTTTCGCACCGAGCTTGCGTCGTGCTCCGCAACGAGAAAATCTTCTATGATGCGAAGTGTTGCCCTGGTAGAAACCATCTATCTGTGGCGCGATATTTGTTTGCAGATAACAGGTCAGCTTAGTGACACCGTCCCTGACGAGAGGGCCACACCCGTGCCGGGCCTCTTGTCCTCATGTCGTGATATTCCATCATTTAAAAAGATATGGAATACTAATGATTTTGAGGAGAGCTGTACCAATCCATGCAATCAGTTTTGTCGAATTTTTCGTTGATGGATTTATTCATGACTTGATGCGCTCAGCTCCTTCTCCTATACTATATATAGCCATATGAAGATCATAGTGTCTTGCTCTTTCTTCTTCGCATTCTGTGAGGATCAGTTTCCAAACTCGATGACGACTTCTGTCTGCAGGTAATGAGAGAGAAATACATCACTCGGTTACTCAATTCACAAGCGAGAATACTGTATCACCACAAAAATCAAGGTTTCACTCTACCGCGCGGTGGACAAGTCGCATGGTGCTGCAGAATCATCGGTACTATTAAACCATGACAAAATTAGTCCATCCTAAACTCTTCAAGCCTTGTCTTTCCGCCCCACGCCACTCAGACTTGCATCCATAGAAAAACGTTAGATTCCTCGGTACACAGTTGCTTTATTACAATCAAAGTTAATCTATGAAGACCCATTTCGCAGCTTCGGTTATTCATTTCATCAGAGATACACCTTCAAGATTACGATGTCCGATCGCATCATCTCACATAATCTGAAAGACGTAGCTGATTGCTGCAGCAACCATCCAAGTTTGCCAAAGTGACTTAGCAATTTCACTGCTGAGAAATTGGGAGCGTTTATGCCCTATGACAGTGTCATGAAAAACTCCATCCTTCTAGCCACGTCAGTACTTAACTTACAAACATCCTCTAGGAGAGAAGGGCTTGACCCACATAAAATCGATTGTTTTCGACAAAAGATCACCAAAATCCGTCCGCGCCGAACATAGTATGAGATCGTATCTCGAGTCCAAGTGCTGGTCCAGACCATGTTTCATGATGTCAAAGTGTTAAAGTAATAAAAAGACTACAATAACATTCGATTCTCCCTGTTGTATAACACACAGAGGCGATATCTCAGGTCGCGCATCGTTGAATTTATCAGGGTCTCTAAAAAATCACCCGGGATGTTGATGCTGGTTTACAAGCAGCCTGGGCTGTGATACCACCGCACTTCAAGAAATTCACATCTGTAGAGCTGGGTCATTTTGACCTCATTGCCACCATGAACACCAACACATCTTCTGTTAGCATTTTGCTCTACGCCTATTGGGACTCAAAATCCTCGCGAGGGGATCGATTGTCACCTGCTTGGCCCCAAATCTCTCAGCCGAGACAGAAGATAACATGTAGGCCGTCCTGTTTACTCACGAGTCTTTTCGGTAGCTAAACGGTCCCTCTTTTGTTGTATACCTAAGCTAGGGCGGATCGCCTCTTTCGCTCTCGAAAAGCCTCCACTTCCTGTGCTCCAATCGTCCCTCACGCCGACAGTTGTTCTCCACACTAAATACAATACTCATCGCTGCTTCGAGAGAGAGAGGTAGGTAGGACCGCGAGATGTTTGATCATTAATCTAGTTTCTTTACTCCCTATAAAAATATATTTCGTGTGTTGCATAGCACAAAGCTAGAAGCCCATGTGTCCAACGGACCTTGCTCTTAGGGTGTCCCATTATTCTCATCCGTGCCATATACTTCATCATGGCCTACCAGTCGATCTGAGGATCAGATTTGGTCTGAGAAAGCAGTCGAACTTTGAATTGGCGGCTCGTAAGGAAAATATTAAAGAAAGGATCAAGAAAATTACCCAGCGGATTGACGCAATGTAATATTTTAGTAAGAGCTGAGTAGGTGTAGCCGTGTAATAAGATAATACAGCTATAGTACCAACACGCCGATCTCGTGCCTCGTACTTCTTCGTCTGGTGTATTTCTGAGCTTTGCTTTAGGCCAAATGACAGTAGTGTAATGTGTTGTACATAATGGTAAGGTTGCACTTTTACGAGTCAGACCCAGCAATCGATCTCTCAGACATCAACTAGAACGGGTCTTTTTCGGGTGCTTTGTTAGGGTGAGAACTGAATATTCTACACATGATATTTTCAAATTTGCATTTTTGTGTATCACGCTGGTTTTTCGAGCGGTCTATATAACTTGACAAACTATAGCTTATTAGTCTCGTGCTTATTCAACAATTTGGCCGCACAGAAAGTGGATGAGAGCGTATTTGCATATCATAGATAAGGCCTCGCCGGGACTTGGACTTGGAGATTCTCGCACCCGAAGCAATAGACCACAAGACGGGCCCAAAATCAACGCTACAACACACTTTTTTGCATTAGAAAAGTCGCTTTTACGCGATGACTGCTATATAGACAGTGCGCTTTACCCTCATTACTGGCATCTCATGGTTCAATTATAGCAAACGATCAATATAAGTACCAGAATGCTCTGAAAGTTTGTTGTCTGTGCGATTTATCGATCTAGCCAGATAAAAAATACCTCGAACCGTATGCTGACTGCTTTTTTTTGTGATGATCCTGTGTATACTCAGTTGGAAGTTCGTCTATAATATAATTTATAGATGTGATGACTTCTCGAATGTACCTAGCTGATAATTTATACTATACAGCATCATCTTTAATATTTAATCTATTGATATGTGAAGCAGGAAGGTATAGATACAGAACCTATAAACTTATGATTACAGATTAAAGATCAAAAGATCGGTCGAGGAACGTGACTCCTCGTGGGGAGCCTTGGGAAACCCAAACCACCAAGTAATTGCTTCCTAACTCTGACCGTTGTGGGACACGAACCCTCACTCAACAGACTGAAGCCACCACTCGAAATCACTGAGCCAGACTTCAAGTCAAAGTTGGTTGGGAAAAGTCAAATACTTAAAGGCAAATTCTGAGCGGAAACTCTTGAAACTCACGCAATATGCTTACCCAATGATAAGTAAGTAGCCTTGCACATTCTTCATACCCAACATCTTCCGTTTGAATGTTCAATTACTCGAGTCGTATCTTCACTCACTCGTTTTGTATCTCTATTCACTCATTTCGCATTTTCACTCACTCAATTGCATTCGAGTGGTCAAATCGGACACACTTGAGAAGCTTGGAGCCTTTTTCGTCTCCATCTGTATTCCTGCCGTTGCTGATTACGTTTTCAAGGTGGCTAGCCGGGAGCATCCTTGATAAACGCGTTGTGGTAGCTGCTCCCTGCCCTTAGCCAGACCATCAGTCTAGCTCTGCTCTGGGCTCATGCCCCTCCCTCTTT